TTGTTTATCTGCACACCTGGCCCAGTGTAGGCTGTTAACTCCTGAAAGTCTGCGCTATTCCCTGAGCACTTTCATATTTTGCAAATCTTGTAGTCCTAAGAAACCAACATTTTCATAGAGAAGCTACTTCTGATCAGGTATAAGACATCACTTAAATAAATTCACTTTTTATGGGTAATATGAACAAATAAACAGAAGTGTAAATCAGAGATTTGTTGATTGTTCTGTTAAGCACCTACAGATGCTAGATGGGAATTTATTTTTTAGCTATGGCTAAAAGATATACATACTCAGAGTGTTAACCTATTTTTCCAGAACATTCGGAAACAGATCTGTGAACTCAAGTCACAAGGTAGTTTCCACTTCTTCTTCCTGACATTTACATCTTTCCTTTCTGAACTCAGGAAAGGAAAAAAGTAAATGTCAGTACTAGGTTCCACAGCACCCAGCCCACACTGCAGGCCAGTTATTCACTGCCGTGCTCTCCTCCCTGCCACGGCTGTGGGCCTCCTCGGGGAGACGCAGGGTGCGGTCCCTATTCCAGTTATCGAATCCTCAGCAATTTAAGCCACTGACAGCCCCGGACCTGGTGGCCCAGACATTATGGCTGTGTCCCCTCCTGCTGCAGTGCCACTGTGGCCAGCCCTCTGTGGCCAGCCCACTGGGAGCCCAGGCGCTGCAGTGTTAGGCAGCTCGGGGGCTCCTGAGTCTCAGCGTGAGGGCTGGCCCGGGGTGGGGGACAGTAATTCCACTTCCCACTGACTCACAGAGCGGCCTGCACGCCCTGCTGGCAGCCCAGTTCTCCCCGGTTTGGAGGCCGTCCTGACCACGGCCTGCTCAGCTCAGGCGAGTACAGTGTGGGTGGCTGACGGGCTGCAGACTGTGTGCTGAGTGAATGCAAACCTGTCATTTCCCTGCATTACAAAGAGGCCTGACCCTCTGCGTCTCTCTCCTCAGCCAGCTTGACCTTCACTCACCACCTGGGCATCTAATTTCACGGAGTACTCTTTAGCTCTGCTGGCGTCACCCCCAGGAGCACAACGCTGAAGACACAGGGTTGGATCTTGGGGTGGGAGGGAGGTAGTCACGGATGAGGAGGAGGAGGGTCACAGTCCTCCAAGAAAGGGCCCAGGACAACCACCAAGTGGAACTGCCAGCCGGGGAGAGGTGTCTCGCCTGGGGCAAATGGCTCTATGCTCTTCAAGAAGCCCGAGAACTTTCTTGAGTGTCAGGGCCAAACACAGAGGCAAAAACGGTCAGTAAAACTCGGTGCAAAGAACACAGTACGCTCGACACAATTTTACAGTCCTAGAGGGCATCCACACACCAAAGTCAGCTGAGTACCATGTTCAAAACAAGGACCTAAGGGGGCTGGGGATTTAGCTCAGCGGCACAGCGCCTGCCTGGCAAGTGCAACGTTGTGAGTTCGATTCCCGGTACTGGAAAAAAAAAAACAAACAACAAAAAACAAGGACCTGAGTCCTGGTGAAAAGGTTAGATGTTCCTTACCACGCTCTGTTAAGGCGCTGCGAAGAACAAACACATTTGAGAAACATTTCTCTCTAAACAATGCAGATTTTCTCATAGAGGTCAGAACTTAAAGTAGTAAATTTCAGTTTTCTAGACAACAGGGGCCACCTCATCCCCAAAGACAGCAGAGAGCCAAGTCATCTGGCACAAGCAGACACATTACTTACAATGAATGGGATCGGGGCCTTGGGGAGCACCTGGTTACATAAAGGTCTTTCAGTTTAGTTTTGTTTTTGGTGGTACAGGAGATTGAACCCAGGGCCCTGCATATGCTTGGCAAGTGCTGGACCATGCAGCCATGTCTCCAGCTCTACACAAGAGTCTTAAGGTAAATTCTGGTGAGAGAAGCAACCCTCAGGCACTAATATTATCTTGAAGACATCACTCAGATCCTGAGCTACTTGGCTCCAAGTCATATAAACTCTACCACCAAAATTAAACTAGGTTGGCTAGATTTCTTTTTTTGTTTGTTTTTCTTCCGGTACCAGGAATCGAACTCACGACCTTGTGCTTGCCAGGCAGGCGCTGTGCCACTGAGCTAAATCCCCAGCCCCTTGGCTAGATTTCTGACTGGAGCAGAACTCTCCTATTACCTTGCATTATTCTTTAGATTTAAAACGTCCTCCAAAACTTTCATGTGTGGACGGCGGCTGGACCACAGGGTGCCAAGCTCACCAGCGGATTCAGTCAAGGTGAGTTCATGGCTGAGTGTGCTGTTTGTTACCACGTGGGGCCTGGTTGGTGGTGGGTCCCTGGCGGTGACCTGGAAGGGTGTATTCTTGTCTCCTGCTCCTTCCTTCTCTCTGCTTCCTGGCTATCATAGGTTGAGCACCCTTCTTTCGCCAGGCCCCTCTGCCATCCTGTTTCTGCCTTTGAGTCAGCTGACCATGGGCGGAAACCATAAACCATAATCAGCTGCAGGTGTCAGGTACTTCGTCCCAGTGACCAAGAGACTTCCAGGGCCTGATCTGTGGTCCAAGTTTCACGGCCATGATTCTTATTCTTTATTTAGTTTCTGCTGTCTTCTATCTGGACATCTGGTGGCCAACACTGGCTCTGTCCCACAACTGTATCCCAGGACTCCCAGACCAACTCTAATATTTGCCTCTGGCCACTCGGGAACTGAGTCTTGCCTATATCCATGTGGCTCCCCGATTTCACTCTTTGCCAGGCCAAGATAGAAAGTTAAGCTGAATCCTTGCGATAATAAAATACGTCACGCTGGGCTTTGCTAGAGCTATTTTATACATGACTCCAAATATACCTATCTTGTTTGAATTAGGCTCCTTTTTGATCTGACTTTATCAGGAAACTATGTATTAGCATCAGATGTTCAACCCAATGAGTAAAATGGGACAGCTTTTGGCTGGTTATAGTCATTCATAAACAGAAGCCCTATGAGTCAGATGCAACTGAAGACAGAGAGAGAGTCAACCGCCCTGTGGGACATGGATAGGCACTGGAGAAGTTCTCAGATGTTACTATGCAGAGTCACCTAGGAAGCACGTAGATTGTGGGTACTGTCCCCAGAATGTTTAATTCAGTAACCTAGACCCAGGATTTTGCACTTTTAACAAAAATCTTAAGTAATTTTGATGCATTAGTTCTCTAACCACTTTGCTGGAAATATGATCTCCCAGCCCTGGGCAAGCTGCTCCAACAGAGGACAAGCACAGGACATGTAGGGCCCCAGCTCTTTCAAGGCCATGACTGACCTTGCCGAAAGCAGGTCACCTGGTGGACCCTTTCCGAACACTGCTCCTGTAGAACATCAGCTTAATTCCAAGGTCAATTTGATTTTAGTGAAGACAATATCAATTTCCCAAGCCTCCAAAGGAAGGCATTTTAATATTATTTGGGGGTAAATGAGAATACTAAGTTGTGTTTTTTTCTTGACTAAGGAAGAAACGCTATGAAGAAAAGCATAGCATGTAAGTGACACTCTACTATCCTTCATGGAATGTTAGTCTATGAAAGTCTCGTGATTTTGCCCAAATTAAATAAGTCAAACATTGTAAGCCGATAGCAACACTGCTAGTTTAATCCAGAGAACCTTGCCAGGAGCTCTCCCGCAATACGCATGTTATCAGTGAGGAATATCTGTACCTGAATGCCCGGGATCCACAGATCACAGCAGAGTCCAGAAACACAGCAAGCTGTGTATTTCACTGGGTCGGCCAAGTTGCCCTGAGTGCTTCTCCAACCAAAACTGGAGTGGGACCTCAGGAAAACTGGTTTAATTAGGAGGATTCTGATGGGGATAGGACGCTTTTGGAATCGAAGATGACAGAAGATATTGATGAGCTATTAGATCCAGGAGGCCCGTCTGATATCTGAGCTAATGGAGTCTCCATTTGTTTCAGGAGGATGCCTTCATGTCTGCACCAACATGGTTTATGGCTTGCAGGGGATATATGGACTGACGGATGCAACTATTAAGGATGCTGGAGCCCCATTCTTACCGTTATTGCGATATGTGTGTGTGTTTGTTTTCTCCTAGGAGGATCTTTATTTTTTCTCCCAAATCTCATAACTGGTTATGCAGATGTTTAATTGAGAGGAATAACTATGAATTACGGTTTGTTGTTTTTTCTTTCAAACTTTCCTATCTGAATCATTTATCGCCTTCCCTATTTGCAAGTGTTCTAAATATTATGAAATTAAAATCGAAAAATAAACATCGCTAGTAGGCAGGCCCAAACTCAGATAAGCACAGTTTCAAAAAAATGTGAATGTGTCTTAATGGAGAGCCTTATCTACTGTAAGACTGCTAATACACAGAAGAAAGGAATTTAAATTCAGAGTGAGAAATACAAGAAGTTAGTTGAGAAAGAAATGCAGGCAGATTAACTCCAGGAAGGCAAAGGAAATGGAACTCGATGGGTAAGGACGATCAGGTCAGATAAGTTACACTACAACAATACTAGTTGTTAGCATACTACAACACACAAAGAGGTTAACGAGACAGTCTCAAGGAAATGCTTAATTAGGAAATGAACACTGAACTGTTGGTGTAGCACTTTTGAACCCTTTTTCACTCTGCTATACTCTTAAGTAAATACAAAAAAGAAGGCGAATTTTACCCAGCTTATATTTGGGGTTCAACACAGACCCTTGCCTACTGAATGACTGTAAATATCTGTTACGAAAAAAATGCTACTGTTTTAATTTTCAGCTCCATCCCCATCTGGCTGGGGAGAGGAACAATTAATAGTACCGTGTTTTGTCTTGAGGGCCTGTGACACCCCCGGGGACCAGCCCGTGGGACAGTTTGCCTTTGCAAGGATTCTTGGCTAGAATCAGACGAGCAGGGTCCAGGACGAGGCCAGTTCACGTAACACAGCTCAAAGCATACAATACAACTTGCTCCGAGGATGTTGGGCACTGTGCTTCATTAGGAAACAAAATATAAGCTTTCCACACCATTAGGGATGACTTTAGGAGTGAAAGCACATAAGACGATGCCTCACCTCATCAACAATGCACTGCAGAAGCTGGAGAGGCTGCAATGGAAAGGAAGAGACGAAAAAGTATTAGCCTCCATGCAATGTCTTTACAGTGGAGTGGAAAGAAAAAATCATTAATGCAATAAAATATAGCAAGATTAATCAACAACAGCAAACTCTTATAAAAACATTGACGCTCAGGATGTTCTATTATTTCTAATGGTACCTAATCTAATACAGGCAGTTAAAGGTTTGCATTTTCTTCAAAATGCAATTTGCTAAGTTTAAAACAAGGCATTCAAGCATGCAAAGGAAGCAGCCATCAGGAAAGAGAAAAGTGAATTTTTTTCTGAACTCATAAAGCTTACCATTAAAGATCCCTGGTTTTTCTGAATCTGAAAAAAGGCAATATGTAATTAGCATGTCATAATCAAAATGACTCACTTGGACACATTATGATCACTGAGAGAAAATTATTGCATTGCTGGTGGCAATCTGTGGGCATGTGTTAACACAATTTACATAATGAAAATACACAAATGTTAATAGCTCGCTTCTCATTTATAGGCGAAAGTCAGCAGAATGTTAATTTCACACAACACTTTTTAGTACCCTCCAGGTTGTATTAGAATAGGGAGAAAAACCATAATCCATTTCAAAAGGCTGTTTACGATTCAGATATAAATAATGTTTTATATTGCTAGATTGTGAACACTGGGCTTAATGTTGCAATCATTGCTAATGTTATGAAGCTCACTCTTTTTAAATTAAAAACCGATTTATTTAAAATTGAAATTAAATCATAGTCAGAAATTAGAATTTTGGATTCCTGCCAGTGTGTGCTCACACTCCTCTATTTTGTGAGGAAAACTTTAATTATGTGGTTGAAGTATTCGCCTCTAACTTACGAGCGGGGCAAAAACTCCACCTTTTCCAAAGTACCTTCAACTTGTTCCCAAGGTGGCCAGGCTCTCTGGGAAAATCAAATGCGTGCAAGTTTTATACGGTTTTTCAGGGAGTGAGAGCAGAGACCAGCGCATCTGATCCTAATTGACAAGCTGAAGGCAGGCTGCTCACCTCCACCACGGATAGCCCATATCTCTTAGAAAACTACCAAAATGTGACAAGACTAATAAATCATCAATTTAGTAATTAAAATATTGAACACTCTAATCCTCCCTCCCCCCAATGCCTACAGTTATTACACATTCAGTGAAGATGGAGTCTCCATTACTTAATGTTCTAAGCAGGAAATCTTTAGGAACCAAGTATTACTATTGATGGGCCAATTATTTTCTGGGACACACGAGGTCCAACCAGCTGATAAAACACAGGGGGACTTGTGCTAGTTTCTTTTATATTCTTAATGGTTACTTTACAAGTTCTTTTCCATACACACGCTGTCGTCTGATCTGCACAACCATCCAGAGGTATTTGGGGATGACCTCCGTATTTTGTGATGGCAGCACTGGGTGTCTCAGAGGATGGGGCGGGCGAGGGCAGGGCTGGGCATGGTGGTTCTGGGGCTTCTCCAGGGTGCCTTTCCCTCCAGCATCTGGACCACACCCGCCCATGACCATCACAACACTTAAAACCGTAGGGTTCGCATACACTGATGCTTGGCATGCTATGGTTGCTAAATGATCAATCTTGGTGAGTCCGTCTGGAGCACGTGAGCATTTCTTTTACATTCACGTGGCTAAGAAGCAAACCCTTCCACCTAGTGCGTGGATGTTTTTAAAGTGCCTTCCCACGGAGTATCTCAACTGTCCGCACTGCCCACTCATGGTCTCCTCCCTAGCCAACACTCCCAGAACCTCTGCGCCTGGCTGCACGGCTCCTAGTCAACGTCGATAAAGTTCCTGCTTTACGTTACCCCGAATGTCCTGGCTCCTACAGTCACCGAGACTTCCGGACTCCATGTGGGGAGACAAAGCTATTCACCACCACCTTAGAGTGGTTAAGGGATTTAGTAACAAGGCAAAATAGCTTTGTAAAGGCCTTGACAAGCCCAGGCAACTTCTCCTACGAAAGGAGACACCGATGGTGTTTGCTTTCATTCCTTCATTTTCTAAGCACATGTGCCCCCCTACCCCTGTCTTAATAAGACATACCTTTTTCAACAGGAGAGTTATTTGTAATGAGCAAATAATCAGAAATCCGTTTTTGACATCGAAGAGCATATTTTTCACAAGTTTCCTAGAGCCAGGGGGATTTATAAAATTCTCTGGGGAAACCATGTGGCAAAAATTCTAAGAGATGTCTGAAAATGAATTTAGGGATGGATTATGAGACACTGTTCCCAGTACCAGGAGTGGTGTGAACTGACTGAACTGAGGTAAGGATCTCCTTATGAACTGCGATCTTACAGAAGGTCTCCACCTTGCTCCGTACTGAGGGTTAAACGCAGAACAACTCCACCACAACTTAAAATTGTACTATTTTGACATTTGCTCTTTACTACAAGAAAGATATAGCAGCATCACAGTCCTTTTTATGACCTTATAACTATCCTGTTTTGCCTGGGTTTTTAAAGAGAGGTGCTGTTACCAGGCTTTATTACATAGTTTTGATAGCAACATATTACATGTAACCATCTTCATAAATTTTGTATTAAGGTAGCAGTGCCAGTACCTGAAATTGATTCAAAGGGCTTAAGATACTCAATTACTTTTTAACACTGTTACACAAGGCTGTGACTTATATCTTCTATTTCACAAGAATCTGATGATGCAACATCATTGTAATTGATTCATTTTCGCAATTAAATAACGCTACTGTGCCTTGCTTTGTATGGATGCCACACAGCCCAGAGAGTTAGATGTATTAGCTCCCTTCCCCGCCTCAGATATATTGCCTTAAAGGCTGTATTCTGTTCCACTGTTAATTCCACTAGAAAATTTAATGCCTCGGTCATATTTTTCAAATTCTGAACTGCCATGCACTCGACTGTATTTATATTAGCCTTATTTTTCACAGCTAAATTCTTTGTTGTTTACCTTTTTCAAGATCACATTACTGCGTGGGTGCAGCAACCATAAAACAGATCCAAACAGAGTCAACCCCAGCCATCGCGTCTGCTTTTGCACACAGTTCATGAAAAAGGGAAGCCCTGGTTTTATAGCGCATTAAAAGTAGTACTAAGGGGACTCCATATAAAATGTTAGCTTCCTGAACGCCTATCTTTATTCTGGGTCTGCCTTCCCAGTGCTGGCTGTGACAGCAGAGTTCAGAGGAACGCAATAATGTGGTTAGGGCTGATGTATTGCCCGTACTTCAGAATGTAGGAAATGCTGCTTATAACTAACTTGTCCAAGTTCACAAGCATGATAGTACGTCATGCTCGCACCGAGTGGATTCTGTGGCTAACTAGTACTTTGGGGTAATGAACGGAATAATAATTGCTCCAGATGTACACTTTGCTAAGCAGTTTCTACAACTAGTACTGTTTGACATACTAATTAGATGAACCTCTTCCCTCTTCTAAGGACATTTTTTTTCTTTCTTTCTTTCCTCAGCTGTTAGAGACAAGATTTAAGGCCACACTCAGAGGAGAGTTATGCCAGGTTCAAACAGGGAAGAAGGGTTTTATGAAAGGCTGCCACAAACACCAGTTCGGTCTTTCTGTTACTGTATTAAGGTCTAGCATCTATTTCTTTGCAAAGACTGTATAGTACGCCATTCAGAAGCTTCTATAACATGACATGTCTTGAAAATGGTTTCAGAAGGGAAACTATCAATGCAGGAAGTTTGCTTGTGGGGTCTCAACTATTTGTTCAATGGTGCTGGCGATAAAAAGCAATGGTGGCACCTTTATTTTATGCTTCCCTGATTAGAGGTCCTTCTTACACACAGTGGTAAGACGGACCTTGCTACCGGCCCCTTTACATTACAGTCGGAGGCATAATCAGAAAACTAAAATAGATCCACCTATGGAACTTAGAGAAGACACCGAGGTAGCTTTCATTTTCTCTTTTGCTCTCTGAAATTATGGCTTGCCCTGCAGCTCTTGTCGGAGAGATTTATGTGTGACCTAGGTCAGATCTTCCAATAGCAGTTGACAAATATTCTCTTTACATATTTACTGCTTTTCAAGCTTGTGTTATTTTCTCTTAAATAGAAAAAAGCCATACAAAATTCCACCATTTGGTTGGAATTTTAAAAAAGTATCATTTTCATTTGTTGCGCTGCTGGCATTACAGGCTAGCTTTCAATGCACACCTCTGTATTTCCCCACGCCCCACTTTTAACTTCAAATTTTAGGAACTGTAGCTATGTTGCAAACCTTTTCTTTTTCAATTTGATGTATTAAGCTATACCCTTAGATAAATATAAACAAGGACTATGGAGAACCGGGACACTCGTGTTCCAAATGAAGAATGATGACCTGAAGAACTCTGCAAATGGAAAGGACCTCAGAGATGCTCAGCTTCAACCTACTGACTTTGCCATTAAGGCAAGAGAGGCTCAGAGTGGTCCAGTGTCCAAGGTTACAGAGAGAGCTTGGCTGGACACCGGCCTGGGAAGCTGTGTGCTGGGGAAGACGCATGCACTTGGGAATCAGCCAGACCCCACGGCCTCGGGTGCCTCCTCCCCGCACTGGGGCTCAGGGCTGCTGTCTGCGATGCAAAGGGATGAGCGCTGGTGTCTAGAGGCGCCCAAGCAGAAGGCTCGCTTCTTCTACTAAAGAAGAAATGGCTGTGGTATTAGGTGCTAAAACGTAGGCCCGCTTCACCTCCAATCCTATATAACTTGCAAAGACCGTTGTGAAAAAGCCTTTGATGAGACAGGAAGAAAATCACTTCCACAAGCTTTATACCCAGTGCCTATGCCATGAACCTAAGAGTTTCCAAATGGTTGCTTTATTAAAAAAGGAATAAAATTTATCCTGCCTAACTACACAGGGGAATGTTGATAAGGTGGTATTTTCACTGAATGCAGCATGACACATTACTTCTAATAATACGCCCAAGTATAACTCAAAGTTTGCCCTAGCCTGGTCCGGTCCATGAGCCTCGGTCCTTATTGAGGTTCTTGCCTAGGAGTCTGATGGTCTGTCTTACACGGAATCTAAAACAGAGGCAGGTCGTAAGGGGACAGCGGGCAGCTACTGAACAGAGTGTAGGAAAGTCTCCCGGACTCCCACGTTCTGAGATCCGCTCGCTTGCAGCTCCTCTCTGGCCACACCTCAGACTCCAGCTGGCGTGCTGTTTGCAGGAGTGACCGGTTTTGACAAGCGAGAAGTAGAAATTCCTGAATTTAGCAAACAGCTGGGTGGAATGGAAAGGCTCTGAGATGCCCAGAGGAGGGCACAGCTCAGATGGGACCAGACAGAAAATCATCACAGCCATAAATTAGATCACTTGGCTCCTACTGCTTCCCGAGTATCAAGGACAAGGCATTTTCACACAAAATGCAACAGCTGGAGCATCAAGGTACGGCACCACATTATTCATTTGCTGGGTCTGCCAGTCAGTCTGTGCTCCTTTGCCTTTCATGTATTTAAAATTAACAAAGCTCACGTCCTACCCCACATACGTGCACGGAACCACTGTAAACCCTCCTCTGGGAAAATATACACTTTAATTTTGTGAGAAAAGCAGGGACTTAGAATTGCAATTCAAAATAATCAATGTGAATTACAAAATTAATCTCTATACCAATGGTTCAAGGTCTGGCCAGGCACATTTCTTTTGAAGAAGATTTTAGGTATTTGCTGTGTCAAATGTTCCTCCTTTTTTCTTTTTTGTTCCCAAGAAGGGTGGTCTTAGGTTAGAATCCAATGTAAGAAAATCAATTGTGTGTGTGGAGGTGGGGAAGGGGTGGTGGGAGAGGTGTCGCTTTTTCTGAAGGAGGCCTGCTGCCTACTCTGCTCTTTATGGTCAAATCAATCCGCTACAACAAAAATTTAATGCATCCTGGCGTCTGGAAGGGTTTCCAGAACGATCATTTAGTTTGCATCTCTTTAGCTTAAACCCGCCCTATGCCACAGAACCCTGAGCGATGCTAGAGTCCCCAGTCCACCTTGCCCAAGGGAGAAGTTCACTTTATAATGTTCTTAAACAGGTTTTTTGTTTTTAAACTGGGAATGGAACTCAGGACCTTGCGCTTGCCAGGCAGATGCTGTGCCTTTGAGCTACATCCCCGGCTGTAATATTCTTGACAGGAACTGTGTCTTTGCTAGAAGACTTCCAATGGTGGAATCCCAGTGATTCCATGTGGGGAAGCTCATATTGCTGTAAAGTTCTTTATTATTTTAAATCCAAGTGTGTCTTCCCTTGAGATGTGCCTGTGATTCTGGAGCTGTGATGCACACATCCAACGCCAGCTCTGTACACATTTGAAGGTAATTGTCCTATCTTTACACTGTCTTCTTTCCGGAATAGGCACCCCTACTTTCTTATGACCAGCTGCTGTTTTGGATGCCCCTCCGTTCTCTCTACTACAGACACTCCAACAACACTCCCCACACCCAGTCAGCCACACGCTTCCGGGCATGGTTGCACTTTCTCTACCACCATGGGCACCTTCCACAGGTATCCGCACATGTACGGTACTTGTTACCGCTTATCTGCAGGGCTAAGTTCCATGCCCCCCAGTAGATGCCTGAAACTTCCACAGTGCTGATCCTATGAGCATCTATCCTGCGTTTATATACCCGTGATCAACTCTCACCTTTTCAACCAAAGGAAGCACGTTACGGCTTCTCCTTGGCACACCTAAAACACCAACAGCACTATCTGTGTACTCTGGGGCTATGATTAAGTGCAATAGGAGTTACCTGAACACAGTGTGATCTGTGTTCCACGACAAGCGATCTGATAACCTAGTTACTCAGTGACTAACGGGCAGGTAGTGTATACAACACGGATATGTACACTGGACAAAGGGACTGGCAGGAGGTTTTAACATGCTACTCATAATGGTGCACAATTTAAAACTTACTTACTTCTGGAATTTTCCAGTTAATGTTTTTGGACCCTACTTGGCCTGTGCAGGTAACCTAACCGGCAGAAAGCGAAACTTCGGGTTAGGGGGAGCACTGTACATTCCTCACCTACTCCACTTTGAGGGGGTCACACTTTTGCACTGACTGGCTGCGGTCCCCTTGATCTGGACACTACACACCGCGTGGCAGAAATAGAGGCTAAACGTGCATTCCCATGTTTGACAGCCACACTGCACAGCTGGGCTCAACTGTGAGACAACAGAGAAAAAGAAAATACTGCAAAATTAACTTTGCTTTTATGCACTCTTCTATTTCTTTATGTGTCTCCTATTGACACAACGTTTAAGCGTCAGAGTGAGTGCCTACATAAACCAGCTGTGGAACCTGCACAAGACTGACGAGGTTGCTGCTATCTGTCCCCTCTTCTGCGCGACAGGCAGAGACTGCATCAGCCTTGCGTTTGCTCGGCTGAGGAGAGCCCTGTCCAACACAAGCAGGAGCAGAGGCTGTGGGACCTGAAAGGATCTCCGGGATTTTTCATGCAACCTAGCACCCCGCTCCCCAGACCATGGTACACTTTCTCCTCTGCTCCCATGTGACGGTCTGCCGTCTGAGCTCATCTGAGAAAGGGAAGCCTCTATCCTGCCCCAATGCTACCCTCCTGACAGTCCAGAGCTGCATCCTCTCTAAAGGTGACTGCCAGGCTTCCTGCGAGGTACTGATCCTTTAGGTGGTGACACGGGCTGGGTAGAGTGGGAGTACAGGCCGAGGAAGAAAAGAAAGTGGACAGAACTATGAACCACAAGCCCCGGGATGTGAGTTGATTCTTGATTCCTTCTGATTGCAAAATGTGCTGTGCCAACATGTCAAAAAGTAAATGTGAGTCAAATACATGCTTGTCAGATTCCATGTATTTTTTTTTTCCATGTATGTTTATCAAGTACTTATGCTGTGGCTGTACTAGACTGTAGAACCCATAAAGATAGATAAAATTGCTGGTCTGCAAGAATGAAGGCCTTCTTCAAGGTCCCTGCCACTTAGTCAACAGGGCTAAGGCTTGGGCACTGGGTTTGCATTCTTCCTTATGTCCATAGGATTTGGACAAAACACAGCCTTCCGGACTTATGCTTCCTTCCTTTGGGCTCCATGGATTTCTAAGACATTGTCCTGTAGCCCATTTCCCTCCAGCAACATTTCTAGGCACAGCAAGAAAGCCTGTTTCCAGGGCCAAGGCTCCAAGTATTAGTGTGTGTGTGTGTGTGTGTACGCAAGCGCGTTTTTCCTTTAAACCGCTATATATTTGACAACACTGTTTGGCCCGCTGAGACCCTGAGACAAGCTGCAACTTCATCCAGCACATGGTTCACGCAGGATGAGGAAGGGATGCATCGTGAGATACAATCACACATAGCCTTGTTAATTAACATGTGCCCTACTGGCTGGACTGTAAATGAAATTAAAAGTAGATCTAAAGAAAGGAAGTCATGGATCTAGCATGAACTGGACGAAGTCCGACTTTTATTTCAGAGTTTTGGGTTTATTTCTTTCCTGTTCTCATAGAAGTAAATCAGGCTTTCATAAACTTCAAGGGAGAGCTCAGGGCACATGGCTCTGCCTGTTTCAGACTCTATCCACCAAATAAACCATAGTTCCAGTGAGCTGTAATACAGAGCCATTGAAAAAAGACCAGATAAAAGCAGAGGTGCCCCTGTGTGTGTGTTATCACAGATCTAGGACACCTTCATCACCTGCTGGATGTACAAGCTCAGGCTGCTGATAAGAAAAGCCAGGACAAGAACTCAGCTTAGCGCTCTGAGTGCTGTTTGGGTAGAAACCACACGGTGACAATGACTTAAACTGTCACCTCCTGGGTGTGTCATCTGCTCCTCTGTCCCTCTGGTCTGAGTCACTCAGTGCCTCTGGCTGCCTGGCTACCACGGAGGCAGAGAGCTGCCCCAAGGGCCAGGGCTGGAGGGAAGCCTCTGGCTGGGAACTCCGTTGTCTACAGTATTTTACCAAACTAGAACTAGAGCCAGGTCAAGGTCTCTTCCCGCCCACAGGGTACTCTCTGCAATCTCTTTCTGAACACAAAACGAAACAAGAAAAGTTTCACCTAGTGCTCCGGTCCTCAGAGCCAGGAGGTCCACACTCTGTCCCTCATAAGATGGTTCATCCTGAAGCTTTTCTTTCCTTCTCCCCACGGTGGTCACCATCTGTAGACATCTGTAGACCTTGCAGGTTCAGAGGTGCAGGGTCCACACTTGGCTCTAATTGGCTGCTTTGGCTTCCCATAATCCCTTGGAGGTAACACCCTGACTCTGGAGACAAGCCGCCCCCTTCCTGGCTCCTAGAGGACCCTGGGAAGCCCTTTCCACTTGGTGTGTTCTGGTGATCTTCAGGCCAAAATTGCATCAGCTCTTTGCTCCTTTTAGGCAACTCATTGATTTCTCAATGAACTTAGCTTGTTTGTTTTATAGGCACTGCAGAGGGTTGGGTTCTTAGCATCAGTAACATTTTAGTAGAGGAAGAATTCCCAAACCCTCCAGATATTAATCCAGAACTGTTAAACGTCTAAAAAGTAATCTTTGCTCAAACAAGGCTCAGCCGGTCTTCCCCTTTAGCTCAGATGCCAGTGATCCTCTAGCCCCAAATCTACACAAGTTTCCTACGCTGAATGGTGATAAATAAGGCACTGGAGTACAATAAAAGTTGATGTGTCTGTTGCTACTGCTACTACTACTGTTGAGGACCACCTTTCCCCTAGGGATCCAGATGCAGCTGGCAGTTACCTGGCAGGCATAGAGCATCCTGGGACAGTAACGTCCATCTCTGTAGACATTAGTTGGAGGCAGTACCTGAGGGGGATGGTGTGTAAAATAAGGACCATTACTGGGGGGTCAAAGCTTCTGGGAGACAGTCTGACCCTGCCACTGAATTCCTGGTAACTGTGAGTCATTGATGGCTGTGGACTCCCACTTCCTCCCCAGTCAAGTAAGAGTCAGATCAGATCACTGTAAAACCCTTAGCATCCTGAGATTCCAGGACTCTACCAAGTAGCTGACTGCGCCAATAAAACCAAGGGCTGGGGGAGTGGGAGAGCTCTGGACCATGGATCCAAGAGGGACCAAAGATGGCAGAGTTGCCCCCAGGAAGCCAGACTGTATGCCAACTTCATTACTCCGAACTTCAATCCTATTTCCAGGCTACGCTGATTATTTAAAAATTGTAAAATTGTAAATGTAGTCCCTAGTTCCTGGACTAAAAATGACCAGATTTGGAATATCATTCTGTACAGTATGATTGTGAACGATAAATTATAACAACAGTAACAACAAAAGGAAGGCTCCTGCGGGATTGGACAGGTAATTCATTTCAGTCCCACCTGGCACGAGACAGTCATACATTTTCAGACTCACACAGGCAAATCCCTCAAGTGCTCTCTGGAAATATAAATAATACTACTATTACCTTGCTCTTGTTTACCACCTTGTATTTTTCAAAGTGCTTTCTTAGGCGTTGGCTCATTTGATCATGACAACGCCTCCCCGGCAGTCTAGAAAATGTCCTAGGCTGTACCAAGCTGAATTCATACAGCGTGGCAGGGCAGCCCTCAGAGGCCTGGGCCAAGGGCCGCGGGGGCAGGGATCTTGAATCTCAAGGACTTATAAGCCTAGGCTGGTATTCAGCCATTCCAAGGGGAGTCATGAAACTCTCTAAGCTGTCTTCTTTATCTGGTTTCTGCTCCATGTACCTCATCACCCTGATACACTTCTATCCTTCTCTTCCACTCTGCTGTTCCCCTTCTTACTCCTTCCGGTGTTGCCTTAAGAGTTTCCCAGGGGAAGTGCTAAACTGTTGGGGTAACGGAAGGAGCCATCGCAGCACCATACATGCTTAAGGGCTACAGGACGCCAAACGCAGGATCTTGTTTCACAGCTTCACCTCTTTCCAATTTCACCACCTTTCAATTTGAGAGCCCAGACCAGTGGCGGCGGACCTACGGCACATGCGCCGCAGCAGGCGTGCAGAGCCCTCTGTCGGCACCACCTCAGCAGCTGAGCATCTGATAGTCAGATTAACTGCGGTGTTGGCACCTGGTGACAAGTAAGTGGGTTATGGGTTGCACTTTGGGCACCTACCTCTAAAAGGGTGCCATCACCGGTCGTTCTTCCCTACCCCGCCAGCTAGTGAAACCTTGGCATCCCAGTGTGAGCGGACCACTCCCTCCCTCCAGCAGAGGCCGGCGTCCCGGCTCCTGGAGGGTGCCCTTCTCATCAACTGCCATCTGTTGGTTTTGTGTTTTTCTTCTCTAAGAAAGGACCTGCCTGTTTCATCCTGTGCGCCAGGGCTCTACCTAGTGCCGGGCTCAGAGCAGGGGTTCAACCACAAAGAAACACTGAATTAAGTTGAGGTGTACGGCATACAACAGTTTACTTTAGATGGTACTACAAAACCCAAACAAGCTGGGCTCGGTACTTCAAAAAGACAGGGGTCACTAACTACCCTTGCTGGCTAGGTACACACACGGTATTCTGAAACACTCGTAAGTATGTATCTTTAATGGAAATTACCTTCTATGATACCTATTCTTTGGGTAGAGGTAATTTCTCTTCCATTTCGGCTATGTTTTAAGGAGAAACTAGGAACCCACTTTGCATTTTTGGCAGAGGCTGAGCAAACAGAATGATGAGACCTTTAGATTAACTCTGACAGGGATACTACGAGTAGAATTGGGTGCTGGTGATTTAAAAATTTCTGGGAAGAAGAAAAGTGTACAAATGAACATCTTAATATCACTTCAATTCAACTCTGCCTTCATGGAACATAAATCTGATTTTATGGCTTGGAATATCAGTAGCAGGGCTTGGGATTTAAGCTCAGGGGTGTAGCACTTGCCTGGCACACATGAAGTCCTGGTTTAATTCCCATTACCAAAACCCCGCAATACAGTACAAAACATTAAAGTAAATTAAGAAGAAATATTAGTACATTGTAAGTGCCCCTATCTTACATAGTGAGGATAAATATAAACAGTAAGACATTTAGGCTAGAAATCTGTTTGAGCAAAAAATTGTAAGTGTATGTTTGTCGGCCAATTAAAGTTGAACGCCAAGGCTTTAGGGCACTTATCCTCTGCTATTCTTCCTTTGTTAGAGACCTCAAGTGGAACACTGGATACTTACAATTTACATAAAACCTTGGTGTTCTGAACTTCAGAGAGTTCATTCAACAAAAGACAGTTTCTAAATACTTTATTTCAGGGGGCAAACTTTTTAGGTATTTTCCAATTCTAGGCATGGTTAGTATATTAATATAAGACAATGATGTCTATAGTCTAAATTTAGTATCAAATTTAAAACAAGATTAATCGAAGTTAGAAATAGTAACAATATACTCATCAAAGGCTTTTAAAACATGAATAAGATTAAGTGTAAAAACTCTAGCATTTTGACATTAGTGTCTGCAAAGTATTTAATGATCTTAAATAGTTTTAAGAACATGAGCTGTTCTGGATAAAGTAACACGAATACACTAGCCAGAGAATAATTTACTAGTACAGAATAAATGAATGTTTAAAAGACAGTCTGTCAATTAGAAAAACCAAGAAACAAAACCCACACATTCAAATAGCAGGTTTCCAAGCAAGTTAAACAAAATATTTTCTCCTTGACAAGCTGCTTACATTTAAATGAAAACAGGGCAAGGCTGGTCAATAATATGGATTACATATGATAAAAAGGACTTTAGATCATGTTAATGCAAGGATCAGAAAGCAGTAACTTCAATTAAAACCATCCAATTATTTAGCAAACTTTCAGATACAGCAAATAAATTAATCTGTTTTAAATGAAAGTGCTCAGATAAGTACCTTTCTGACCTATCACTGAGTCTCACAAGCAGCATAGATTCTACTGAAGCAAAAAGCCCCCAAATCAAATGAATGGTAGTAGTGATCAAAAAGCATCTGCAAGGGGGCTGGGGATTTAGCTCAGCGGCAAAGCGCCTGCCTGGCAAGTGCAAGGTCGTAAGTTTGATTCCTGGTACCGGAAGAAAAACAAAAACAAAACAAAACAAAAGCATCTGCAAGACACATCTCCTTGGCTAGCAGCAGGGTTCTGAAGCAAATGCCACCTACAGCTCCTCTTGTACTCTGATACATGGTGTACAGGGGTGGATACACACTTCTCTTACTCAGGAACAGCTAGGTTGTCTTGGTCTAACAGGATGTTTTCATTTCTGTACTATCTTATGACAAAGGCCAGTCATTACCTCATCAGGAATGGTAGTCTTACACTTGAAACCTTCTATTCTCTACTTATATTTAACTTGTATAGGGGTTTAAGAACTCATTTTTATTGAGACAAGTACTATGTCATCATTTTGCTCAGCTAACAGCCCTGACAGCTAACATCCTGTCTCCCAGAATTAACAATGGTAGATCTCTATTTTTCGTACATTGAGGGCAAAAGCTAGCAGAATAAATGAGAATCAACTCATTGACAGTAAAGGTTTCTAATCCCTAAGATCTGTACTTCCCTTTTACTTTGGCCTTAATTATTCTATTTGGAAAGATGATGGTGCGTTTTTTCTTTCAACGAAAGTGATCTTCTCGAGAGTGCAATAATTTATTTGACTGCCATTCTTATGTATTTTTAACAAATAACATCCCTATTCACTATTTCTCTTATCTTTTTGATCTTTTTTACTACTTATCATCTTCTTTATTTGAAACAGATTTTTAACAGATAATCTTGCTCATTACAACAATATCTTGCTTGCATTTTATTCAAATAATTCTTAAAAACAGCTTAAAAAGCCGTTTGGAATAACATCAAGCTTGCCATCAATCAAACGAAAAAATTCCGCTGGCGGTTGTATAAACATCAGATCAAGTCTGATGTCTTCAAGGATTTCAGAGTGAACCATAAAAAACTCCATTAACTTCTGACAAAGAATGCAAATTAATCACAACATGGGGTGAAATGAAATTAAAGGCTCTTTTCTAATCAATGACAAGGCAGGATGAAATATTTGTTACTCTCTCTGCACTCGGGCTGCCTAGGACGTTCCCTCGCACAGCCCCCAAATGGAAGGTGTGACTAAGGATTTGCCCAGTCACCGCGCGGCCCTGCTCCCCTCCCCCCAGCGCTATCTGCTTACAAGTCGCGGAGATTCACAAAACACACGAATCATCCGAATCTCAGGTGCATCCAATTTGTTATTCACACTCTTCCATGCCAGTGAAAAGCCTGGCGCAGACAGATGCACCAGGAACCCTAAATGACAGTTTTGGCCTCCGGAAGTACGATCACTACAGCAAAATCTAGTCCAGCCTCCAGGTGAAATGTCTGGAGCTCCATATGGAGCAGGGAAAATTAACAACAAGATGAAAATCACTGCAGCAGCAGGGAGTCGGAATTTTTGAAAAAAAAAAAAAAAAAAAAATGAAATTTAAAGATGAAGAAAGAGAAGTAATAAATTAATGGGGTGTGAAAACATTCAAAGCTTTACAATACCGGGGGCACTATTTGCTCAGATTTTTTCCCTTTTTTTTTTTAAACTTCAGGTCATTTTGATGTAATTTATTAACCAAGATCAGGAATTGTAGCCAAAAGAAGAACAATATTTTTATACATGCAAAAGTACTTTAAATACATTTGTGTCTGAGTTAGCCTCGCCTTCTCGTGGCATCGTGCTTCCCAAATTTCCCAGGGCCACGGCGGACACATCCCCTGAGAAGTCGCCTTAATGGATTTACCATCGGCCTAATGCAGGGCACCGTTGCAAAGTTTGAATGAGGGATGACGATTCTGAGCAGGCAATCCTTCTCGTGTCTCCTAAATTATGGTGCCATTAAACAAACCATTGCCCACCATCATCTTTTTTAAGCCAACTGAATTTGGATCTACGTGATTAACTACACATAGCCTCCGTCCTTGGCCGGACCTGCACGTCTTTCTAGATTTCCACTAAAGCTAAATTGTTCAAGAAATGGAGACCTTTTTTCTGTAAGATGTTTAAAAATGCCACTTCTCATTATCCTGTTGCGGAATATGCTCCACGGGCACCCAGCATGTAATGACAATGGGATTGGTGAGGGCCCTCTGGATGCCACCGTCCTTTTCTTAAACACATGGTAAGAGAAGCAAAGGGCTCTAAGGAGTGGCCTTGCCATCACCTACACTGGCACAGGCCTCCGATGTCTGGCATCTCCATACCAGGCCAGCCTAGGGCAGAGGAGGCAAAGGGCTGCTGTGGTGAGGTGGAAGAGAGCAGAGGCGAACAGCCAGCCACATTAGAGGCCAAAGAGCAGCCCCTGGTTTAACTGCTAAGTTCCAGACTGTATCTATCCCCAAGGCAAGGTGCTTTGCCTCTGCACCTCAGTCTGCTCGCCTGGAGCCCGGACACGGTAAGCCCTTGCAGGTGGGATGGACAGCCTGGGACAGGCACAGGAACGCTCAGGAGCCCCACTGCGCTAGGTGAACGGGAGACATCACTCTTTATATATGCCACAGTAAGAAGACTGTGCCTTCGGAGTGGCCCCTAACCTTTTTTCCTGCAGAGTCCCACACTGCATGCCAATGAGGCTATGCCACCCTAAGGCCTACAACAGTAGTGGCAAAGCTATGGCATGTATGCCACAGTGGGGTGTTTGTATCACAGAAAGCTCTAAAAGATTTGCCAACACTGGCCTAAAGGAAACTCAGTTGGCGCTCTTGAGCAACAAACAATGAAACTCACACAGAATGATCAGCTTAGCCGATCCATCCCCTCAACAAAGCCCAGCCCTTTAGCCTTTATGTTGGTCCCAGGCCACTGACTCTCCCTAATACTTCCCAACACCCCTCCCTCATCTGTAGCCTCATAGTTACACATAGTGTCACCAGCAGGAGGAAGGGCTGCTAAAGACCCTGTCAGCAGCACCGATGCTGGGCTGGGAGAAGGATAGCTTCGACGACAGTCCCTCCTGTCAGCTCCTTGCACCTTCTGCTCCCAGGGTGGTTGGCAGGTTGCTAAGAACATCCCTTCGCAATCCTCCATTGATGGCTGACATTCTCTTCTGTGCCCCAACCCCACATCTGGGCAAGTGGGGTGGCCCTTTGTAATTTTCTGGGTGGTTTCACATCCATTATCTCATTTGATCAGCACATCGCCTCTAATCAGATGGGAAAGTGAGAGATCAGTATGCTTTTTTAGAGATGAGGCAACCAATACCTCAAGGAGTTACAAAGCAAGACTGAAGCTCTGTGCTAGAGCTGGATTCTAATTCTCCCCATCCGTCTCCCGGTCCTGAGCTCTTTCGCACGGGCCCCTCTTCTTAACTTGCCACTAGAACTAGGTCTCTGCACCAGTGGCAAGTTAAGAAGAGTGGGCCTGCTTTGACTTTGGGTTTGAAGCAGCAATTCCATGGCACTATCCCCAGCCCAGACGCAGAGGATTCAAGGCTGTGATCTCAGTGATATATAAAAGGCTTTTCTGTGTTCAAGGACCCAGGGGTGATAATTAGGAAGAAGTAGTCAACCTGGTAAATAGAACACTGCTTTGATCCTATCACTGCTTTTTAAATAGTGAGTTTCCTGTCACTAGAGGTATTCAAACAGCGTGGATATTTGCTTTTGGGAAATGCTGCACCGAAGTTTGACTTGATGATGTCTGAGATCTCTTCTGGCCCTTAGAGTCTTCAGTTCACTCCTGTCTACCCTACTTGGGATTCACCGCGACTAAATCAGTCACACTTCACAGAGTGCTTAGGAGTTCCAATAAGGTAACATGAGCAGAGCAGAAGGTATTATTTTGCAATACCAGTCTCTGATACTAGAACATAATTTTTCTCCATGTGCTTTATTTGCAGGCAGAAGGGAAGGCAAGAAAGCTCTATAAAGTATCTCTCCTCAACTTTCTGTCAAGAGGACAAAGCCTGTAAAATAAATGCCAGTTCCAGCCAAAGTCACATTGATTTTAGTAATAGAGCACCCAAACTTCTGTTGAAAGCCCGGCAAACAGGTCTGCTGGCGTCAAAGCTACTTGTATTATTTTTAAAAATACAAATCCCAATTTGGTGATGACATCATTCCATTATAACTGAAGAAATGCAGTTTTTCCCCCTGCTCTGGCATAAAGGTTATTGCTAACTAGGGAGTTCAGCGTAGTAGAATTTCCCAGCTTTCACCTGACTGGCCTGGTGAACGTGTAATACTGAGACACAGAGGAAGACAGTGAGGACATCCAGCTCTTCCCAGCTGACCACAGCCCTCCGCTCGTCGCAGGCAGTCCGCACCCCGGACTCCTCACTTGCCAGCTCCTACTGAGGGATTACTCCCGACTCTAAGAATCTCAGGAACACAGCTACAGTTTTAATCTTTGGAGTCTTTATTAGATGGCTTTCAAGGTTCCTAATAAGACGTGCTTGAGAGATGAGACTGTACAAAGCCTCTTCTGCTCCTTTTCACAATTTTACAGGATTATATAAACTGGCCAAACAATGAATTATTTAAAAATTACTGACAGAATGAGAGGCTTTACCAAGATAAATATTCTAATGAGCTATAAATCTTGGAAATGTGATTTTAATTTGACGGGCTACCTAGAGCTACGCAGCAAGGCGGTATACACGCTAAGATCCCACTACGTGCTGGTGTGCACATTCTGTCTCGGGTTTTTCTCTTTAAGGAAAAGATTACGTTTCAACAAAGAGGCTTAGAAATTTGAAAAGTGGGCCTAACAGCTTGGATGGTTCCTCTTCCACTTACCTAAGAATTTAACCGGGAAGGAAAAAGGATACAAGAGACATTTTGGTGCATGGAGGCTCTTTAAATATCTACAAGGGTACCAGGAAAATTTCCTTCGAACTGCTTAGAAAGATGGTAGAGAGAACGAGCCCCCTCCTATTATTCAATAACCATGTTTGGGATGCATCTGCATAATCTAACCATGCATAAATTAGTATGTGTAATACAACACTTATTTGCATAATAATAGCAAGTTAATAGATGCTTAAAGAGCAGAGACCAACACCACCTTTAAATCAGACATGCCTCCGGGCACTTTGGCCTGTACAGCCCAAGAAGCCAGAAAAACAGTGAGCAGCAACCCGAGGAAAACAGGAAAGTCATTCATTTTCCATCCCTCCAGACAGTTCACTTATTTCCTCACACACGCTGGGGAATCATTTTCAAACCACAAAACAGTTTTATATTTTAAGTGCTAGCACCCTCCAACAATAAACATGTTAGAGAAATTATAAAAATTGGAGTCAGCAGCGCTACTACAATGGACTGTTTTCTTAGAAATGTGGGTGGGTGGGGGAGTAAAATCCACAAATAATGTGCTCAAAATGATGTGTAACAAGTTACCTGGCCAAAATAATAATCTAGATTATTTTCACTCTTCTTCTGAATCCTTTAAATGAAAGTAATTTTAATTAAACCCAAAAGCTAAAAAAACAAAACAAAACAAAAAAATGGTACCAGGAAAGGGCTAAGCCCCTCTTCCGGCTTTAGTAAGAGCACATGGTACCGGGCCGGGAGAAGGGAAAAAATATCTCAAATGTCACACAAAGGAAGAGCACAGATCGCTGTCAACCTTTAACAAAGAGGAAAAAAGTCTGGAGTTTAAAAAAAATCAAAAATCAATAGAGACTTCCAAATGACTCCTTTAAGAGACCACTTTTCAATTTAACAGGACAGATTTATTTGTATGTGGCTCCAATGTTCAAGATTGCTCCCTGCACCTTCATACATAGGAATGAATGTCACAGAGGCAAACGGCAGTAATGAACAATCTTACCTGAGGATATGGGAACCTCCCAAGAGCAAGCTGGGAAAGGAAATAATATTTGTCTAGTTATAGATTTGCATGCAGGGCAGATCTCCTTAAGACAGACAAGTACTAAATTTCAGAACTGTATCCAGCAAATATAAAAAATCTCACAACCCTGAATGCATGAACTAAATTATTGCTGTAATTACATTATGAGCTGTATTTAGAATGGACATTTTCAATAGACAATGCTGCATTCCTGATAAAATATTCTAATTTTAATAACTAAACATTATCCTTATGTGGTTTCTCTTAGGACTGTTCTCAGCTCTGTGGGCATTATTCACATTTGCACACGGGTGACAGTTTCTTCTAGACAGAGGTGTAGAATAGTTGGTTTTTTGTCTTGTACAAAAATGGGAACATCGAATTGTTCTCGGCTCTGTACGGTTTTCAGTTACAAGTCTAAATGAAGACTGTGGAAGAGGGGAATGGGCCATATTATGAGACTGAAAATTGTGCCATTATTTTCATCTACTTGTTAAGTTTTTTCATCTACTTTCTATTCACAGTTAGAAGAAAAGGGCTGCTGCTAGTGGGAAAATGGCCATCTGAAGACCCAGAAGTTGAAATTGTAGGCCTAAGTCTGCAATTGAGAAGGTGAATCCTCAGAACTTCTGGTTTAGTTTGATTCATTAATGATTGTTTCTGGACTAGTTACTTAATTTTGGCCTTTGGATCCCCACCTGTAAAAAAAAAAAAAAAGATTCAACAAAGAAAAGGTTTGATAAGATCAAATGCAACCAATACACCATAACTATTTAAATAACGGCAAAAATTTGCCAGTTCTTGATTTGGCCTATACTCAGTCCTGAACCCCTTCATCTAGTAACCACTTTCAGGGTAGAATCACAGTGCCAGGGAATTTCAAAGCTAGGATGGATCTGAGAGAGCGCTGAGTGGCTTCACAGCTCAGAATCCTACAGTCCTAGGAGTTCATCAGTGGAGACCTAGGGACAGTCCCCAAGATGTTGACCGTGCTCAAACCTTCCTGAGCTCCTCTTGCAGCCGTGTTTAGTACCATTTCACAGAACAGAAGAATACCTGCTTCACTGTATTGGACGAATATCTTGGATCTAAAATTGTACTCTTCAGCTTGCTGACCATGTGAATTATTTGCAAACTTATGTGTGAATGACCTGAGGATATAAACAAAATCCAAAGCTACCTACAAAGAATAAATTTTTGTTGCTTACTAAGGATAGACATGAAGGTGCTGAGGTTTTCAACATGTCAAGACCAGTATGAACAACAGCAATGTAATAGGAATAAGCCACATGGCCTTATAAAGTGACTACTTTCAAAATGTCCAAAGGGACAGCACTCATTTGAGGGTGTGGCTATATGTGTGTTTATATATCTGGGTGTGTGTTTAGAAACACCTAGTGTCATTACCTTGTAATCATCCTACATACAAGCTATACATAGTTACGTATATGGATTTTCTTTTTTGTTTTGTTTTGTTTTTGTTTTTTTGGCTTTTTCTCCGGTACCGGGAACCGAACTCACGACCTTGCGCTTGCCAGGCAGGCGCTTTGCCGCTGAGCTAAATCCCCAGCCCCCCCGTATATGGATTTTCAACATTTAAAGTTACACTATCACTGTTTCATTTGATGGACCTCATTAATCCTTTCAAGTACAAATAACAAAAGCAGCCAGGCATGATTGCACATGCCTGTAATCGGAGCTACTTGGGAGGCTGAGGGTGAAGGACTGCAAGTTCAAGGCCATCCTGGGCAACTTAGTGAGGTTCTGTCTCAAAAAAAAAAAAAGGAAGGGCTCAGTGTTCCCACTGTGCCCACTCTGTCCCCACTCAGGCCGGTTTGCCCTACAGCTTGAACGAGGGCGGCGTGTTTCTGGCCAGTGACAACATGCACAGGGACCCAGGAGTCCCACTGTGGCTGAGTGCGGCTGGGGTCAGGCATCTGCGTTGTTCTGCGCTCGCCTGACAGGCAGAGCAGCTCACCCAGAGCGCCACCTACCACCACGCAGTCTGTGGGGCGTGAGTTCTGCATACACTCCTACTGGCACTAGAAAAACAACAAAAGGAGCTCTCAACTAAAAACCCAACCGTTTATCAGCTACCAGAAAACAGACTGCAGACACGGCACCCCTCACTTGGGTACGCGTTGAACATACTGTTAGGGGCCACGGAACAATTCTGTCCCCATGGCTTGCAGGTGGCGGGCACTCGCCCGCCATGCATGCCGTCAAGATCTGGCCACTGGTTCTTGCAGTGTAAAGAAGTAAGAAATGGGAAGCTGAAGCTTTAAGAAAAGAGGAGAATAAGGTGAAAATTCAGATTCTCCTCCTTTCAGCGTTACCTCTGATTTTCAACCTCACCACTGGTTATAAGGAGCCAGGCTCCAGGCAACTGGGACTCATCCGCTTGGCCCCTCTGTCCTAACTGCCGTGGGGTAAGCAGGATGCTGACAGCACTGGCTGCTCTGTAAGACACCATCATGCAGGAGAACAGAGAGAAAGCTCAGCGGCGGCCAGTCAGTGGGGGCCTCCGGCCCAGTCTCCTCGGGGCAGTGTATGAACCGGTGTACGCCTCATTCTTGTGTCTGGCTTTGCTTCTTCCTCACTTTCCTGATACCTGGTGCAGTCTCAGTTCTACCTGTCCACTATGCTCCTGGAAGGACAGCGTGTAAGGCATCCTGCAGGTTGGAGTTTCAGGGCAGAGAGTGGTTCTTTGATCTTGATCAGTAGGCACCACGGCAACAGCAGTGGGACAATCACTTCCTTTCCCACCAAATGTCATCCATGCTATAGCAACCCCAATGCTGTACCAGTGAACACGGGCCACGGCACTCTCGGGTTGGCACCGAAAGCAGTCGTGCTCGGGTGCCAGCAGAGGAAGTGCCTTCTACTACATCCTGGTCCTTCCAGGTCTAACGCAGCTGCTATGTTTACATTCCACACTGTCTGTCTCGTGGCAAAGTAGAAGGAAATATATAGACAGGCCCTAGAATCATTTTATCAGGCTTTATTAAGAGGCGGTAAGAAGGAGAAGGGGTTCTTAGCAGATACAGCCTAAAAAAGTCAAAATAAACATGGAACCCTTATGGGGTTATAAGAGGATGCATACGCTCTCAGTGTTCCAGAGACAGACAGTCCCGGGGCCATTATGTATCCTTTACCCCTACTGGTCTATCAATCTACTTGCATTTCCCCAGTTTTTATTGTGAAGGTATTATAAATTAGGAAACTTACAAAAGAGAGTATGTAATCTTCTCTGAAATGGCCTGCAGATATGTCACTGTACTAAATGTGTTTCAGATTTAATGAAGCTTTAATGTCCTTTTTAATTTTGCCTGTTTCTGTATCACCAGGGGTCGGGCAAGGCAATCAGCACTCAAGAGGGTGGTTTGGTTTAAAACTAGGAAAAAACTCATTTGCTTATGAGTTGCACTGTATTTTCTTAATTAAATTTACTGAGTAAAATGGTTTAAGTTCAGCCAACCAATGACCTTTGTATGTAGATTTAGATTTATAAATAGGTTAACAGTTAAAGTAAAGGGAGGAAGAAAAAAGAATTGCAACAAAGCAAACAGATTAGGGCTAAGCCAATGGAAATCTTTCCCCTCTTTATCATCTTTACAAAAGACACATTTAAATACGGGCAGCTTAAGTCCAGTTTTAAAAAAAATATATTGAAGAATGTGGACACACGTAAGCACCAGTGATTCATCAAATGACTCTCACATCCTTTGCAGTCCCAGGAGGGGAGCTGCTCACACTGTAAAGATTTGGGAAAGCTTTAGTTATTTTTTGAGAGTGGAGGACGACAGGAGGGAAGGAGAAGATTCTATTTAATGTTAAATAAAAAAGTACATGTTAATTCCAAATACTTATGACTCAGCAAACTGCTGAACACTTCTTGTGGGGCATTTATTACGGAAGAGGCAGAAAAAGAATGTCTTCACTGTGATTACCAGTTGGGAATGCATTTAAGTAACAGTAAACCAGTAACATTTCATTGTGAAACTAGGGACATTTCTCAGTGTCATCTTACTGATCTTTGACTTGTCTAACCATAATCCGTGAACTGCCCTTGCCTTGGAAGTATTTGAATATGATGGATTTCTCAGTTGAAATACCAAATATATTTAGGTGTGTGTATTTCTGTGTGTGTAGGAGTACAACCATTACAACTATTGATGTACCTCAACTGCATGATGGAGACCTCCATATTTTAACAAAAAGGATAGATGATATTTATTTACAAGGTAACAAAAATGGTTTTTGTTGATAATAAAAATAGCTGCCATGAAATTATAATCCACAAGAAGAAAAGTATATATTCCATCCAGATAGCAGTGCAGGGGAGGGGGCAGCATTTAGAAAAAGAAAAAAAAAAAGGAAGCAGTGCGGTTCACAAGCACAGAACATGATTCTGGTGATCAAGTCCCTGACTTACAATATCAACAATGTAAAGCAAGTAGTTTTAAGTTTACAGTTATACGGAGGAGCACTGCTTTTTTTAATTCTTAATTTAGACATATTCTATGTTTCTCGGCATAACTGCAAATTGAAAATAAGCATTTTCAATATAGCCAGTGAGCTAGCTGAAGGAGGACTTTATAGCTTGCAATGTTCTAAAATTTGTTCTTAATTACCTTGCGCACATTTTACACAATTAAATTTCCATCGAAGGATTCTGCATTTAGACTGGGTACTACAGTTAAACGTTTATTTCATAGAAATGAGCAGTCGCCTTGCAACATTCAGACACTGGCAAATTTTTTAAAAATCAGATTTAACTACTGGATTACACAAAATTCCCTAGGTGAGATTTCATCCCAAGGCCAATTTACACAGTCCTAGAGAAAAAGCTTAAAGCATCTGAAACTATGCTGGCGAGGAACCACAATAAATATTAAATACCTCAAAAATCTACCCTAGATTTTACTTTTCTCTGCGCGCATCCATTTCGCTGTCCTTTCACTGAATGGTTTAAAAAACAATCCGGAGGATAGAATAGCAATTTTCCA